CTGGGCGGTTCAAAATGAACTGGGGAGAGAGCATCAACAAAGAGAATAGTCTTTATCCTATATTCATAGTGTTTAGATTTCGAAACTATCAATCGACCTTGAATAAGAGCTTTATTAACTCCAGGCTAGATTATGTGATACTTGAAGGATACAAGTATGCCTCATCAACCAAGCATAGTCACACAGAAACTCGATAGATAGTCTGCCTACATCAAAATCAAGTATACATAAGTCTATACGTTTGCACATACGTATACGCATACACACACACGCATATATATATATATATATATATGATCGTGAGAAGCAAGTTAGAGTAGCAAAGTATCCGTCTTCCTCTAGAACACCTGGATTCGTGTCTCCTCCATTGTCAAATTTAGGCCCCAGCGGGATTCGGGCATATCCCTTATTCGTGTTTACTAGACCTCACAAGTCAGGGAGACACGAGCTAGAGGGTAGACATACAGGCTTACCGATATACATAGGAGCAAACAGACAAGCAAAAAAACAAATAAATAATTAAATTAAATTAATTAACTAGCTAACAGACCAACAATATGCATGCTGTAATCTATGCGTTTTTGGTGTTTTTTTTTGCTTTTGAAAAAGTATGTGTTAATCTGGTGACCCAAAAGTTCAGGAAAAACGAGTTCGTCAGGAAGAACAGTAAAACGATATCGAAACCCTCAAATAGCCCCGTTCAAAAGGGAAGAGACCTGTAGATAAGCACATAAGAAATGCAACCCAATAATACATTATTTAGAAAGATGAATCGACCTCGAATCCCATTACTGAGGCTACGGAGCGCTTGATGAGTCGTCAGGATGTCCGGCTAAAAAGGATGGCTGATAAATTTTCATCGTATTTTTTGTTTAATATGGTTAATACATCTAATAAAACTTCCCTCTTCCCTGCCATTTTTAGGGATCACGTACTCTGAGAAAGTGCCTCTCCTCCCGCCAGAAACTGATCAAGCGACGCTGCCAGCACCACAGACTGTCCGGATCGTCAGTCCGGGCCGACTGCTGTAGGGATTCTGAATGCCCGAAAAGGGAGCAAGCAAGGGCGCCTGGGACGACGAGCATCAGATAGGCCTCGATCAGAGCACTCTGGTCGAGCAGACTCGAGGAGAGGTCGCAAATGTGGGCCGGCTCGAGGAAGCCGGGTGGCCAGGCGACCTGGACAAAGTGGAAGGTAGGCAGACAGAAGAGGAGAGTTCACATGAGGGCTGTAATGGTGGAAGGTATGCGGTGTCTGGCGATACGTGGTGGACGTTGAGACTTGACGATAATCCTACTTATACAGGACAGTGTCAATTCAGTTTGGGTGTGTATCTGCATCCACTCCCTGCACATTACGCGTTACAAATCTACACAACCTGTCTTTTTCATACACCCTTCTTCTCGAATCACACAACGTATGTCATGCCCTCGCCTGATATCATCAACGTTTTCACACAGTGTCATCTTTCCATACACAGTCCATGCGTTTGCAATCAAGCTATATACGTCTTCTCATGTCTAACACAACTTCCGTCGTTTTTATTGTCAACTTTGCACTCAAACCCACACTCCTTGCGGATAA